TTAGGGTTTGTTTCAGGCTGAACGAGATGGAGACAAAAATTATTTCCAAGCTGGTGGAGAAGTATAAAGAAGACTATGTGGTGAACCCCAAACCCTAAACCCTAAACCCTTGACCTCCTGTCTTAAACCCTAAGCCTCAAACCCTATACCCTAAACCCTCGCCTCCCGCGAAACCCTAGCAGCAGCGCAATCAAAGGGCCCCTAAACCGTAAACCCTCGAAGAGGCCTACAGCGCGCAGGGCCTGTTCCCTCCCAACCACTAGGGTTTAGGGTTGAGGGTTTAGGGTTTAGGGTTTAGGGTTTGTGGTTAGGCGATGAGCCGGGACATGCGAATTAATGTTTACCAGTGGACTGCAACACAATGCAGACACAAAACCCTAGGGTTTAGAGAAGGCAATTGCTGCTCCTCTTCGAGAAAGTATTTGAAGCACCTTATTCCCAGCAGCAGCAGCAGCATCAGCAGCAGCAGCAGCGGCGGCGGCGAAGCCAGCAGCAGCAGCGGCGAGGGCAGCAGCAGCAGCGGCGAAGGCAGCAGCAGCAGCGGCGAAGGCGACGCCAGCCGCAGCAAAGGGGATACAGGCAGCAGCAGCGGCAGCAGCAGCAGCAGCAGCAGCAAGAGCAAGAGGAAGAAAAAGCAGAAGTAGCTGCTGCAGCAGCTGCAGCAGCAGCTGCTGCAGCAACTGCAGCAACAGTTGCAGCAGCAGCTGCTGCAATTGTTGCAGCAGCAGCTGCAGCAACAGTGCGCTGCAAATGTGAAACCTTAAGTGTAGGGGACTTGCTGCTGCAGCAGCTGCCGCTGCAGCAGATGCCGCTGCAGCAGCAATAGTTGCTGCTGCTGCAGCAGATGCCGCTGCAGCAGCAACTGCAGCAACAGTTGCAGCAGATGGGGCTGCTGCAGCTGACGCTGCTGCAGCAAACGTCCCTGCTGCCCTAGCAGCAAATGTTGCCCTTGCTGCTGCAGCTGCAGCAGCAAAAGTTTGCCGCCGCAGCAGCAGCAACTGCCTTCTGAAAAGCAGTAATCTCTTTGTTGCTGTGGTGCTGTCTTCCAAACCCTAAACCCTAAACCCTAATCTGTCAGAACGCCTTCCCTCTAGGGGCCAAAAAAGCCGTAAACCCTAAACCCTAGCTAGCAGCCGAAGCTAAACCCTAAACCCTAGTCACAGTCTGCGTAAACCCTAAACCCTAAACCCTCAACGCTAGCAAAAAGGTTTGAACCTAGGCGGCTGCAGCCTAAACCCTAAACCCCAGCAGCCCGGCTACACCCTAAACCCTAGGAGCCGGCCACCTCACCTAAACCCTAAACCCTAAACCCTAAAGACAAACTCTTCCCCGGTGCAGTTTTTCCCTCAAAACCCCCAAACAGGGGCCCCGTTGCTACTCAGGCCCGTGGGGGCCCTTACAGCTAGCTAGCTAGCTAGCCAGTAGCTAGCCAGCGGCTAGCTAGCCAGTGGCTAGCTAGCTAGGTAACTAGCCAGGCAGCCAGTTAGCTAGCCAGCCAGGCAGCCAGCTAGCTAGCTAGCCAGGCAGCCAGCTAGCTAGCTAGCCAGGCAGCTAGCTAGTTTGCTTGCTAGCCAAGAAACTGGCTAGCTAGCCAACTAGCCACGCAGATAGCCAGGAAGCTAGCTAGCTGGCTAGCCAGCTAGGCAATTAGTGAGCCAGCCAGCTAGCTGGCTAGGTAGCCAGCTAGCCGCCGCTCCTCACCCACCCTTTGAGAAAACCCTCCCGAAAAAGCGGTTCTCAAAAAC